TGTTTTTTTGCCATTCATTTACACAACAACTTTTGAAAATGTGTTCCAAAGTGCAAGCTGTTGAAAACGATACTGTCATTACATGTGTAAACTAAAATAAATTGTGAAAACGGTGGCGTGTGGACAGGGATCATTTCGAAAACGTTGTTGACTACGCAAAATGCAAAGGAAAACCTTTTGTCTTTACAGTACATTATTGTCATGTAAACCTACCCTAAGAAACAACATTTTTTACTGGTGAAAGTAATGTGGATAGAGGACTCCTATTTTAGCTGAAAGTTAAAAACCCAACAAACACACAGCTTTTTGCTTCACAAGACATTAACTGATGGACTGGAGTGGTGTGGATTATTGTGATGTTTTTAATCAGCTGTTTTGACTCTTATTCTGACGGCACCCATTCACTGCAGAGGCTCCATTGGTGAGCAAGTGATGTAATGCTACATTTCTCCAAATCTGTTCCAATGAAGAAACAACCTCATCTATATCTTACAAGGCCTGAGGGTGAGTACATTTTCATTCTTTGGGTGAACTATTTCCTTTAACTGTCTGAGAACAAAATGTTAATGTCAAATAGTTTCAGGTGATTTAAAGCACGACGCGATTCTCACAGATGGAAAAGCAGTTATTGAACTATCAAAGACTAATCAACCCAGTTTGAAAAAAAGATTACCTATATATGACGACACCAAATATTGAAAACAATTATATTAAAGACAACAACCATATATAAAGTATTAAAGATAACAACAACAACAACATACAGTAGATACATATATTGCTATGAATATTTTGTGTAAACTACAAATACCCACCAAGCTTTGCTTCTGATGTGTCCATCTCCCATTTGCTTTTCGGAAGGTATCCCTATATTACAGAGAGACACTCCAACGGTTAATCCTCAGGTGATGAGAGACAGAGGGGACAGACAGCGTGACAGGGGGATGACAGGGACAGAATAGGGGCTGGGGAGCAATGATGATGCTTTGGATGATGAGAAAATAAGCTTGAAAAAGAGATAATTAATAAGTCACAGAGGCAACAACAAGCTCTCAACAACTGATAAACGGTCCTTATTCAGGATAAGGAAACGTCTACTGAATACAGAAGATCATGCATATTTTAATACATTATGAAGTGTATATGAACCAGATTCCGACTAAACTGACTGCTTCTCACATTCATTTTAAAGTAAATCACAAAGCCAAGACACTTTTTTTTGCAGCTGAAATTGGTAACTATGAGATAAGACAAAAAGCCAACAGCACAATGCAGAGGAAATACTCAAGACTGAAATAGAGGCCACTTTTAAATGTAAAAGTATTCTTCTCTGCCAACCTTCAAGAGTATTTCTCAATCCTGCCCTAGAGAAATCATGTTAACACTGGATCTTTGGATTGAGAAACATCGACCTTTCATATAGGGCTGCACGATTAATCGAATGCAATTGTCATGCACACCTTGTCAGTAAAGCCGGTTCTGTGATTAGTAGTAAATCTCTATCACCTGCAGCAGCATTTACTACACAGAGCCGTAGTTCTCCAACAAGCTACGCAAAAAAAAACAAACCCCGAAGACAATATAATCGTACGATTATGAAATCGAAGAAATCGTTCGCGATAATGACAGCTGTTTGCATAGCTTCTCCGTGAACTACGGCTCTGTGTAGTAAATGTTGCTCCATCTGAAAGCACATGAAAATACCTCATTTAATAACATGTTTTTTACTCCAAACTCACTTCATAACTTCAGCCGAGTGTTTGAAATAAATTCTTCTGTGAGATGATGTGGCTTCTTACACAGAACAAGGCACGCAACATATTTCATAGTATTCTAAGTCGTGATAAAGGCTATGTCGATTAGCATTGCATTATAGATATACTTTTTTATAATAACTCAGATAAACCATACATTGTCATAGTCGTGTGTTTAGTAGTCACGTTGAATCAATGAAAGCAGTTAAATCTTCTGTTTATTCAGCAACCGCTATAGGCATTTCCTGGGTTTCTTCTGCGAGGTGTATTTGGAATTCAGCGCGAGCGCTCCCTCTGGCCTTCGGATGGAGATTTACTACTGATCACAGAACCGTGCTTCACTGAAAGATACGCATGACAACCGCAGCTTCTGTCGAATCGCGATTTTGATTTATCGTGCAGCCCTACTTTAATATGACAAATACATTTTTAATTATAAATTTTTTTCCCCCCAAAGTAAGTTTTGAACTGGGAATTTACATTCAATTGATAGAGAAATGATAGATATAGTTAAAGTACAAATCCGTAAAACTCACTTAATTCAAATTTGTAAATGGAAAACTAACTAAAATGTAACTACTCATCTCTAAATAAAAATTTAAGGGATCAGTATTACGGTTTACACAAAAACCAAGACAATTACACAAAACTTTGGTATAAAGTCATCTACACTGAAGCCACATTACATGTTTGTGATAGTACATAAGCCAAAGAGATTTTAATGTTACTAATGCACAAATATTAATGTGTTTTGTCTTAATGCATTCCATTTCCTATTGTATATAGAATTATATCCAATGTTTACAATATTTAAGTAGAATTAAAGGTGTCATGAACTGAGAAACCAAAATCTCCTTGGTATTTTGACATGTAAGAGGTCACTGTGCTATAAAAACAAGTTTCAGAACTCAACTTTATCGTTAGTCCAAAAACAGCTTATATTGAAGCCAGTCTGCCAAAACGACAGCTTGTGGAATGTTCTACTCTAAGATGTAATAGTGTGGATACGCACCGCCTCCGCAGAAGAAGATTAATGCCTGCTTCGACATCACTGCCTGTTTAACCCCGCCCACTGATTCACGCATGTAATGTTTACGATAAAGATGCGCCGAAGACAAGACGCTGTACAGTGCCAAGTTGTGAAAAAACAGTATTTGCATTGCCTTCCTTTTGATCCCAATGTTAGGAAAAAGTGGATTAACTTTATTTTTAATGAAGATCCAGACAGCGTCAGTAAGAACTAGGTCCTTTGTTCACTTTATTTTACGGCGGATTCGTTTACAAACAAGGCACAGTTCGACGCGGGATTTTCAGAAAGATTGAAACTAAAAGACGATGCTGTGACGACTATTTTGGACCCGACAGTAATGTCACAAAACAAGTGTGAATAACTGTTTTCATTACATGGTCACTATAGAAACAGAGCGCATTTAGGCCACGCCCACATTTTTTGGGGTCGACAGCTTATAAAAACGTAGTTCTGGGGGTTTTTTTAGCTTGTTTGCTGTACACCTTTTCACATAGCAGCTTTTAGACATTTTTCTGTTTTTTGTTATAAGTCAGAAATGACAAGGAGGCAGCTTCCCGCAATACAAAGTAAATGGAGAGGGTTGGATTGTCCCCCCCCCCCACCATTTTTGAATGTAGAAATCTTGATAACATAAGTGGACCTCAGAGAACAGTACAAAAAAAAAACAGAGGCAGTTCATGACCCCTTTAAATATTTTCAAGCTTTTACAACCACAAATTTTTGCTGCAAAGTACAGATCGCAATAATAAACAAAGTCAAGATTTCAGATAGATTTAGAACTATATAACTATTAAAATACACATACACAAAGTTGCAATCAATCATGACAAAGTTTGAAGCTGTGTATATGCTCTTTGATAAGAGTGTGAACACTCAAAACACACTTGAACATTAATGTCCCAAGTGATGTTTGTGTGATCATAAAAGTTTGTATCAATTTGTAAAAGGGCATAATTGACCCAGTACCATAAACAATTTAAATCGCTGAATAAATATATATATATATATAAATATATATATATATATATATAAACATGAATGCTGCATATTTTGTAAGCACATATATGTACACATACACTGATTTCTAATATTTTTAAAGATCTGAATTAGTGTTACAAGGTATTGAACTGAACAGCCAGGTTGTTAGAGATCTAGTTTTTTTTACAAAGATCTCAACAATTGTCTCTAACATCCCAGGTGTTTTACATTTAAAATATAATCAGTGTTATCTGTGAAAAGTAAGGAGTACTACTGACAATCGCACAGAAAAAAAAGCCTTTACTGATACCGACACCAGTAAAGAGGAATGACATGACAATGTTGAGACTAAAACAAAGATATTTTTTATAAAAATAGTAATGGTAACTGAATTTCTTGTGTTTGGCAGCTGCGATGATGAACACTGTGTGCTTTGGCCTTTAATTTCAAAGCCAGGCTTCATTCAGATGCCAAACCAAGTCATATTCTGAAATTCTCACACTTTCATCTTAGTTTACAAAGTCTGTCATCTTAATTTTAACATCAAAAAACAAATAGATGGTCACAAAGCTGGATGTTACGTTATAATGTTATGTTGGATTATTTGTCTTGAATGCGTAAAAGGATAAACTTACTAAAAATCCTTAAGTTTGCATGACCTTTTTCAAAATGTAATGCGACTTATGTAAAACAACATGAGTCATGTTGTCTAAAACAGACTAAAATAATGATTTATTTATTTATTTTTAATTTAGAAAAGCTTAGTGTTCCTAATTTGGCCACCATTTAGTTCAACTATTCTTTAACTCCAATATTTAATGCCAAGACAGACCAACATCTGTTCAAGTTCATCTTAATGCCTTATGTAAGAGCTTCCTTGCTTTCTTACAATATTCTATAGCTATCCACTGCATTACACGGTTACAACATTTATACTGTAATTCCAACTCATTAACCCTAGGTAAAGCTAGCAATGAGCAAAGAATAAACAGAAATCAGGCTTCGGCAAGCAATTCTGCAGCATTTATCCTTTATATTATACTGATATTTTATGAACAATAGGGCAGGTTGGTTTTCCTGACATGGTGGTTATTTGGTTTAGGTCTTCACACACTTTGTTTTATTCTAAGCCACAAAGATAAGACTTGTGCAGAGCTTCCTACAAGACAAAACTGAGAAGCTTTCAGGAAGTCTTGCATTCAAATTCAAGTCCCATGATAAAAGGTCCATTTTAGGAACTCAACAATAACATCAGGCAAGACATACCATTTTGGTGTGCTTCTGTGTGAATGTCATACTAATAGTGACGCTGTTGAATATTCGGCTAAATAAAATAAGATGAAGACAAAACGGCCAAATTAAGAGACATTCTTGCATACTGTACATCTAGAATACAGCAAACAAAAGCTGACTTATAATTAAAGCTACTCAAAACTACATTCAAGTGCACCTAACCCACTTTTTGAGTCACTCACCTTTTGAGTTCAATATGGAGGCTTCTCATAAGCAAAATTAACAAATATATTCAGGAATACTTTATACTACAGTCCATTCTAATAAAGTTGTTCCTAATCCATAAATGACTAATGGTTAACCTGTTACAAAAACTGCTGTTTGCAAAAATAAAATAAAAACTTTTAAAAACAGACATTTTAAGTCTCAAATGTATAGTAAGTTAAATAATATTTTAATGAGCTAAAATGTTTAGATCCATTAATATGAAAATTGAGGACAAATGTACAGATATTCTCCATTATATATATACAATATATCATGTAAACAAAAACTTTTATTTTGAATGCGATTAATCGTTTGACAGCACTACTTTAAAAATAAAGAGATGGATTCTTTTATAATTCACTTACTACCATAGCTTGAGGATCCATGGTCATAATGCTCAAGACTCCTTTCATAGGAAGACCTGTCATAGCTTGTTCGGTTATAAACCTCACGATCCCTGCTTGAGCGGCTTGGGTGATCTCTTTCTCTGTCTCTGTGTCCGGGACGAGGCCCAAGTGGAGGTCTGAAACCAGACACAAAAAAAACAACATATCAAAAGAACATTCCAAATATATGCCACCACACTTTCTTTCCAGTCCAAATTGGTGCACAGACATTTTGATGTAGATAAGGAAATGTTTACCAGTAAATTAAGTAATATGGGCATAATATGCATAAAACTCAACATATGCAACTATGAAAAAGGATGCAGCAGTATGGTCTGGAAGTACTTACCGTTCTTCTCGTAAGAAACGATCCCTTTCATATCGGTCTCTCTCATAATCCAGATGTGGCTTCTCCCTGTACGGATCTCTCTCCCAATCCCTGTCATAATCTCTGGGACCACCATATGGGTCACTTCTCCTGTCATAGTATGGGTCTCGGTGGCCAAGCAATTCTAATGAAGGAGAGAGGTTGATCACATATGTGAATTAAAATAAACCAACGCAGTGTTCCATCGTATTCACAGAACAGAACCAACCTTTCTCATAAGATCGCTCAGATAGTGGTGGAGCAGGCCTCAACACAATCCTCTCTCCATAAGAAATCCTTTCCACTGTTGAACCAGCATCTGCTTAATAAAAAAACCCAAATGTAGTTTGTCTAAATACATTTAGAATCAAATCAGTTGAGAAGTAGAACGTGTACGGACCACGGCCATGCCCATAGTCCACTGTTTTAGCAATGAATGAGGCTGTAGGGGCAGGAGCTGAAGAAGAATGAAGGAAGCCTGTAGATTGATTTGAATGGGGCAAACCAGCTTCCAAAGGCTGATTAGTCTGTCCTGTTTCTGACAATAAATTGGTAGCCTTTAGGAAAAAGAAATGGTCAAGTAATCAGTAGTTTTTCAATAACATGTTCTTGCAATACTGGAGATTAGTTTCTGAATCAAAGAGCGTAATTTGAAACTCAAGTTTGGCATACCTGCAGAGCACTTTTAACTTCAGGTGGAATTTCTAATCCAAGAATTCCAGCGTGAAGTTCTGAAGGCAACCCGGCTGACTCCGTGTTCGAAGCTTCTCCCAAAACCTTGCTTTCCTGGAGCTCTCTATGAGCAAACATGTCATCCAAGTTAATATTTTAACCTCAGCCAGTTGGGACTATTTGACTTGATTGTTGTTTAATTAATGATATACTGATGGGAACTCCCTTTACCTTATCATTTTCAACTCCTGGGCAGCTTTGAGAATGATTTCATGCTGCCTTTGAGAAAGAGCAAGTACGGTTTTAGTTGCACTAAGTGAAGACTGCTCAAGTGGAGTATCCAGGGCTTGAGGTGCGGGCAGGCCAGCTAGCGGCTCTGGGTTATGTTCATAATGGGGCTCCGTTTCACCAACTGGATGAGAGTAAGCTCTCTCTGGTGGGGGTGGGCTCCTTTCCCAATCAGAACGAGAGTGATAAGGAGGCTCCCTGTCATGTTCTTGATAAGGTGGTCCTCTTCGCTCCTCTCTATACTGATCCTCATCATCATATGGGAATGACCTTTCTCTTCCCTCTAACCAATGATCCTCTCTAATGTGCTCTGGGGGGCGACGTGGTGGATAGTCTTGGTCAAGTTGCTCCCTGCCCCATTCCTCACGAGAACCGTAATACTCATTGTCTTGTTCGTAATCTTGATACTCACGAGTTGGCCCTCTGTACGCATCATCCTCAGCACTATACGGTACACCATATTCTTCCTCATAATTTTCTTCTTCATGGGGTGGAGGGCCATGCCACCTCTCCCTTGGCATTGGGGGTCTCATGGGAGGTCTTCTAATCTCCATTTCATGGGGAGGCACAGGAGGACGTCTCAGCCCTCTCCCACGAGGATGAGCCCATCCAGGTTCTCGGTCTATTTCTTCTTCATATCCAAGAGGACCAGCTGGTTCCCTTGCTAAGATTTCATGAGGTGCTGGTGGCCTTCTCATGTCTCGCTCCATCATGTCATGGCGGGATGGTGGTGGTCCCCATGGGCCTAGACCACGTCTGAACCGTGGTCCCATTACCCCGCGTGGTCCCATGTGAGGAGGTCCATGTGGTTGACCAGGAGGAGGGGGGCGCCTTGGACCATGAAGCATAAATCGAGGATGAAAAGGGGGTTTTCTGGGGCCACCTGGAGGAAAAGGACGTCTAGCATGCATGGGAGGTCTTCTCTCGGTCCAGTATGGATCTTCTTCCTCCCAGTATTCTTGTGGTTCTTCTTCCCAGTTTTCATCTGGATGAGTGCTCTCTGGGTGCTCCCTGTGACCCACTGGAGGTCTTCTCTCTCTAGACATTTCATAGTACTCTTCCGGGAAGTGTTCCTCCTCTGGATGCCACATCTCATGGGGTGCTTCCTGGTCATCCATTTCTCCAGGAGCTTCCAAAGGGGGGTCTCTCCAAGCCGAATCCTGGTCTTCTCCATGCGTTATGTCATCTGGTTGCTGATGGTCATAGGGATCCTCTGACATAATTTCTCTCTGACAGTTAGGATCAACCATCTGTCCTCCGTATTGTCCTCGGCCACGCGCACGGCCCCTGCCTCTGAGAGGCACTGGCCCTTGGCCCCTTCCCCTTCCTCGGGTTACCTGCGGTGGACCTGTTTGATTCATCACATGTGGTCCCCTTGGAGCCTCCTTAGGTGTATCAGATTTAAACTTATCTTGAGGAGGCTTCGCTTGTTGTGGTGGCCTGTTAGTAACATTGTTTGTTTTAGACATTGTTGGTTGTGAGCTTGGCTTCTGAGAGTTTTTGTTGGTGGTGTTTGGACTTTCTGTTGGTAGGGAAGGTTTAGTAGTATCTTCTTTTAACTTATCCTGCTTTGCAGTATCAGCAATGGTATCATCAGAAGTATTATCCTTAGTTTGAGGAATGGGTCCACTCTGAATAAAAAATCCATCCACTGAGTCCAATATGTCATCTGTCAGTGACGGACCAGAGGAAGCACCACCTTTTTTGATATTTTGATCTTGACCACTTTTGTTTTTTTCTGGGCCTGTTTGAGATTGGGCAACAGGTGGTGCATTAGGTTTTGCTGATGGTTGCTTTGTTTGAATACCAGGGACAGGACTAGATTGCGCTCCATACCCTGGTTGTTGAGGAGGTACAGGGGGTCTTTCAAATCGTGTAGGTGCATTCTGCCTAGGGGGGTTCTCAGGTCTTGCTGGAGGCCCAGGGTGAGGAGGATTACCTCTGGGAGGTCGGTTAAATCGCTGACCAGCATCAAATCTAGGTGGTGCACTAAACCGTTGCTGGTGTGGCTGTTCAAACCGTGGGCCTCTAGGACCTTCAAACCTGAAAAAGGAAATATGAAAAATCAGTACTCTAGCTCCAGAAAAATGTGTTAATATAGTGTGCAATCCTGATAATTCTTAAATGCATTACCTTGGGCCACCAAATCTTCCATGAGGCCCAGGGGGCCCAGGAGGTCGAAACCCTAGTCCAGGTAGTCCAGCAGTTTTACCTGTTTCAGAGACAGAATTTGACCCAGAAGATGGGAAAGGTTCTGCAGGTAATGGCCCCTGTGGAATAACAGGTCCAGATGGTGGTGGGACCTGTGGTGAAGGTCCTGGCATGGCATCCATGTTAACTGGTGGAGGCATACATGGAAGCCCTGGGTTGGCTAAATGCATGTTTCCATCTGGTCCAGGGAGTCGATGCTGCCCATATGGTCCCATCATGCCCCCATATGGAGGAGCTGTACCATACTGATGCTGCATAGCTCTTAGAGATGTGACTCTCTCTTGCAGATGAGCTGAAGTTGAATTCATTTGCTCTTGCCATTGTCTCCACTGGGCTTCGTAATCATGTAGCTGGTCTTTGTGTGGGTATGCCTGAAACTGTTCTAACCACAAATTAAAGTGCCTGTCCCACTCTTGGTACAAGGGAGCAAATCGCTGTTGCTGCATTTCATAGTGTTGCAATTGCATCTCCAAGGGCATTGTCTGGTGGATAGAATTAAACCATAATGAAATTATATTGTTATTTTGGTGCTTTTTCTTATGTTTTTGCTCTATACAAAAACATTTTCTAAGCTCACCACACAAATTAAGAACCACTAATAGATTTAATAGAACAAAAACACTGCACCTGTAGATGTGCTGGCTGTTGAATAACCTGCTGGTACTGTTGCAGGACCTGCTGTAGTTGAGCATGCTCTTGCATCAGTGCCTGGTACTGAATGCTGGCCCTTTGATGCTGTACATGCTGCCAATGGGCAGCTGCTGCCTGCAGCTGCTGAAGACGTGCTGCTTCAGCTGGGTCTCCTGTATCAGTGATGCCACTGGGCTGTAGTAAATATCAGTAATCAATTAAATATGAATAATCAGTTAAGGGTGTGCTATATCATAATGTCCACAATAATACCGGTATACATTTTTGCATGATAAAAAAAGTGTCATATCGCGATATCAATGATATAGCGACGCAATGACGTATGGCACATTTACGCTCCCTAGCGTGCACAACACCACCACAAACCCAATAGGTGTGTTCGACCTGAAGCAGCGCTGCGCAGACTGAGAGGTGTATGACATCAAAGTATCGCGAGAGCGATTCTAGAGCATTTTCATGCGCACACTCTTACCGTCAAAAATAGGCGAGGCACCTATCTTTAGCGAAGTGCCGCGGAGAGCCGCTTCTGAAAAGTGCCATGGCGTGGCTGGTGTAAACACAACCACTGACTAGAGTGGCATAACGCGCCGCAGACGCATAGAGTGTAAATAAGGGGTAAGTCACTCTCGCGGTATTTTGACATCATTTTGACATCGGTCTGCTTCAAGTCGAATACACAGCTTATGACAACAGATTTACACTTCGAATTAGATAGTCTGTCATCGATGACAGTAGCTTATTGGAAAAGGATGAAAAATGCCCTTCAATTTGTTTTTGTTTACTTATTTAACCAAGAAGGTCCAATTGAGATATAATATCTCTGAATGCTGGCCCTTTGATGCTGTACATGCTGCCAATGGGCATAAGCAAGGCTAACGCTAATATAATGAGCATTAGAATGAAGTTTCTTTATTAACTATTTAATGCTCCAATAACTTTTATTAGGGTAAAACAAAAACAGGAGGACATGATTATATTTACTATTTTTTACACACCATAGGCTTTTAAATTAATTGTGAATCTAAAATATGCGTGTTAGAGAATGTACAAATGGTTAACATTTCATATCAGTCAGAAAAGCAGTTCTGGGCTTTTATTTTTTTAGCTAACTTAGCCATCATTCTTGGCTGAATAACTCTAGAAGGTTTTAAAAGCCCTTTAAAATGAAATATGTACAGTTTGGATTAAATGAAAGTATAGTCAAATTGTTTAATTAGCATGTTTTTGTGTTTTGCTTTGGTACCAAGAACCGTGGATTTTCACTGGTATTGGTACCAAATACTGAAATTTTACAACAAAAAAAATTACAACACTAACATACACACTAGTCAACATTTGAAGTGGATCAAAACCTTTTATCAAAGTTGTCCTAAAACACGTTCTTGTCTTAAGACAACTTTGAACTTTTTTGATCCACTTCAAATGTTGACTACTGTAAATAGAATATATGAACAAAACACTATATTACTCAGGAAAAAAATGACCTTTGATTCCTCTGGTGGTGGGGGAGGAGGAGGTTCCTCTTTGGGAGGTGGGGGTGGAGGGGTGCTCTTTGGGGGTTCAACTGGAGGCGGTGGAGCAGGAGCATTGCTTCCATTAGATGAATTTTGATTCTGCTTAGCCTTCTCATTTTTCAGCTTCTGCAAATTTTGACGGTGCTGCTGATACCAATATTCCTGCTGCTCCTGTACACAATAAATACAAATGCTACAAATATTTCTCTAATGTTTGATTAACCATATTCCTTGAATTTAAATAAGAATCACATGATATCTTACAATACACCAATGACAATAATATTGAAACCATACAATTGCAATTTATCTCTCTAGACAGGGATAAAATAATAATAATAAAAAAAGTTATTTGTACAACACTATTCTCTCCCACAGTTCTGACTTCAAGCAAGAAAAAAAGGAATTATTTTATGAACCCATCAACAAGCTACTGATTTTCTCTACAATATGGAAGGAATAATTGTAGCGTAAATTAGCGTGTGTATACGAGGACTTTATCTATGATATGATAACTGACAGGCCAGTTTACGTGAAAGGATTCACATAACTATGCAATAGTGCAGTTCAAAAGACAATTATGCCACAGTAGCGTGTCCCAACACTTCAGGGATCAACACTTGAACCCGACTGATATATCGTTTAGCCGATATTATCGGTCGATATGAGCATGTCGCCGATATATCGGTATCGGCGAATATGCCGCCGATATGAATTTTTTTTTTTACAGAACATATAACGCAGATTAAATGCTTCTGAATGGTGTATTTACTTAGTCTGTCCAGCAGAGTCCGCTCCATTGTTTGCTACTAGTGACCCAGGTCAGTGTAGTGTAGAGATGCGTGGATGGGCTCAAACTTCAACCGAGTCCGCTGCTTCAAATTATCCACCTGCCACCCACCAGCACCTATATTTGATTGTCCCATTACAATGATTCTAATTCTTAGTTTTGCATGATGATATGATGAATGGATGGTTCATTTTTAACAGCAGATTCAGTGACGTTAGAGACTAGAGCGGATCTGCGCATCACGGCACGCGTCTGCGGCGCATTAAAGACTGCGTTAAGCCCCGTTCACACCAATAAATATAACTATAAAGATAACGATATTAGCGTCCACACCAGCAAACAATATAGTCTGTTTATTCTAAGCGCACATGCGTCTGCCACTTTAAATTCTTAAGCTCGTTACAGCAGGATGGATTCTGATTGGCTGTCAGTGTTTTATCGTTCATCAGCTGGGAAAAAATCGTTTTGAAAGTGATCACAACGATATCGTTCTTCTGTATCGTTATCGTTATAGTTGTGGTGTGAACTATGCTATTCTTTAATATTGAGAACGATTTTTAGAACTATATCTTTATCGTTATCTTTATAGTTATCGTGCTTGGTGTGAACGGGTCTTTACGGCCACCGGAGCTGATCGCAGTCACTCAGTCAATGCTGGTGTTTATAAACGACCACGCCACGGCCCATAACTCATGCTTATCACATCGGTCACGTCACGTGACAAAATACAATATTTATATTGTATTTTGTCACGCCGCTCGCGTCCGGTGTAGAATAGAACCCGTTATAATCAGTGATGTTATCTACACTGGATGCAGTAAACTGATGTATTGTTCTATTTATGACGTGCTGACACAAAGTTCAAATGATTTTCAACGGTCGCTTTGTCGCGTCCTGTTGCGGTGCAGACACGGTGTCGGCATAGTTTGTCAGTACAGTCAGTAATGTAGCAGATTAAAAAGTTAGTATCTTTCTGCAATCCAACAGTGCAGTGGTGGCTTGAGTCTGTTGGATAAACGACCACGCCACGGCCCATAACTCATGCTTATCACATCGGTCACGTCACGTGACAAAATACAATATTTATATTGTATTTTGTCGCGCCGCTCGCGTCCGGTGTAGAATAGAACCCGTTATAATCAGTGATGTTATCTACACTGGATGCAGTAAACTGATGTATTGTTCTATTTATGACGTGCTGACACAAAGTTCAAATGATTTTCAACGGTCGCTTTGTCGCGTCCTGTTGCGGTGCAGACACGGTGTCGGCATAGTTTGTCAGTACAGTCAGTAATGTAGCAGATTAAAAAGTTAGTATCTTTCTGCAATCCAACAGTGCAGTGGTGGCTTGAGTCTGTTGGATGGTGATTTAACGCTATGTTGTCACATAGTTGGAGAGACTCAATGCAAAAAAGTAAATAAACAGCAATGTCCCCGTCTTTTACTCTCACGAGTCTCACAATGAGCTTATCATATTTGTTTGCTACATTAGTAGGGCCCTGTGATTTCTTGGACATGGACGGAATCCAGTCAAAAAAAACGGAATTTACTATATAACGCGGAATTTCATGGAATTTGTCTTTTAAATATATGAGTGTCACAGCAAAGGGTCTGAATACTTAGGACCATGTGATATTTCAGTTTTTCTTTTTTAATAAATCTGCAAAAATGTCAACAATTCTGTGTTTTTCTGTCAATATGGGGTGCTGTGTGTACATTAATGAGGAAAAAAATTAACTTAAATGATTTTAGCAAATGGTTGCAATATAACAAAGAGTGAAAAATTGAAGGGGGTCTGAATACTTTCCGTACCCACTGTATATATATAGAAAATACAGAACACAGTTTGTGAAAAAAAATATTATTATTCATTTTAGATGTTTACATTTGGAAAAGCTGTATAAACCTTCCTGCATAAACCTGCTCCTGTTGGTTTGGCAGTAGCTTGTTGCCCTACACAGTTAGCTTGTTTAATTTCTTAATTCAAGTTATATATATATATTTTGTTCTATTTGTGTTAAGTTATTTATAATAAGTGAAGTTTACTGCACTGAAGTCAGACTCATTTTGAATAATAAAGTTTGTTAAATTGTTAAATACCCTGCCTCCACTACATAGGCCTATGTTTGTCACATCATTATAAGTGTTTGATCACCACATTTGAGTTATTGCAAAAAAATGTGTTTTTGTATATATATTCTGTTTATGTAGGCTATATACTGTATTCCATATATAGTACTGTCAAAAGTTTGGAGACACGAATGGGAAGTGTGTCCAAACTTTTGACTATACTGTACTATAATATAGCCTACACATAAAGAATATCTTTTTTTACTCCCTAATATCGGTATCGGCCCCCAAAAAACCCATATCGGTCAGGCTCTAATCAACAAGATTTTTTCTACTGGCTCGGTCGGACACACACAGTCGGGCCAGTGGTTCAAATTTTTACTTGCCCTGCCAACATTTTCCCTGGACCTGCCACAAAAAAATAAAATAGTTTCTGTTATCATTGTTTTTGATCTGTTAACTTGTATTCTAATAAATAAGCTTATATGACACCAATATTTTAGATACCAATTAAATTTTACAATTCTCTATTTAAATTTCGATACCACCGCAAAAATCACTAGCCAAAATTAAACATAAATATAAAGTTTAAACATTATTAAAGACAAGTGACAGCCAGTAAATAAGAACAAATGAACAAATTACAATAGCACAATTAAATATAGGCCTATAGCACAAAAATAGAAATGAAATGATGCTTTAGGTTTTCATGTTCGTAGATGTTCAGGAACAGAAACTGAAAAAATCACATAAAATAACATTAGCATATTCTTCACTCCGTGTTGCACCTTGATTTTTCATAGCCATTTGAAATTAGAGGCAACCACTGCATTTTAAACACAAATTGAAAAAAAGTACAATGTTTGATTTATATTAGACTGAATAATTTCTAAATCTGAAGCAAAAACAGAATAACCTGACTTTAGCTTTGTGAAGTTATGCTACATAAAACATCTGTATGAAACAGAAACAGTAGACGGGCTGAATGAGACGCAGATTCACTCTCTGACAGCAGTGCTGTGTTAAAATTAAAATGAATTTTAAATTAATTTCAATTTTTAATTAAATTAACACTAATTTAAATGCATCTTACTAAATGAAAAGAAAACGACATTTCTGAAAACACTCAGAAACACATTCATAAAAAATTCTAAATAAAATTAAATGTTTGGATTTTATTCCTATATTTCGTGCATTGTGAACAGTGATCTTGTTCTGCCTGCTACAGTACTTTCTCCTCTTTGTGTCCGTCTTCAGCATCTGTGGCCTCTGTTAATGACCGTTTACTATGGGATGATATTAGACTCAAAATGATTAAGTGAAGTGAAAGTGAAGTGACATGTGGCCAAGTATGGTGACCCATACTTGGAATTAGTGCTCTGCATTTACCCATCCAAAGTGCACACACACAGCAGTGAACACACACAAACCGTGAACACACACCCGGAGCAGTGGGCAGCCATTTATGCTGCGGCGCCCGGGGAGCAGTTGGGGGTTCGGTGCCTTGCTCAAGGGCACCTCAGTCGTGGTATTGAAGGTGGAAGAGAGCGCTGTACATTCACTCCCCCCACCTACAATTCCTGCCGGTACGAGACTCGAACCCACAGCCTTTGGGTTATGAGTCCGACTCTCTAACCATTAGGCCACGACTTCCCCACAAAAAATAATAATAGACGCACGCACAATTATTCATGTACTGCATACATTTTATACATGTATCTTACTAACCACAAACAAATGCCTTTCAATTTGAGTCTGTGGAATTCAGGATTAAATGATTGTGCAGGGATTTGTAGTGTGTGGATTGGGCAAGGCTAAAAGGGCGGAACGAAAGTCTCAAAATTCAAATGAATCAAATAGAATCGACTCAGAAGAGACGTGAATGAATGCACGCGTGTCGCCTGATGCACAAATGCACATTTTAATCGCTACATGCACAAATGATGATACTTTAATACAAACTATAACATTTGTATTCACAAATATGTCTCTATTTGAACAAAATGCTGCACATTAATGTAATTCTTAACTCTGCAGACACCGGTTGAAAGGCATTTGTTTCAGTGTAGTGACGCACATTTGCAAATTTTTCAAATCGAGTACAGGTTAATGAATTGCACTGGGCCTTGTTCGTTGGTAGTTGTGTGTGTGAGCGTCGTGAAATGCTGTAAACTGCGAAAATGAAGTCTCAAAATCCAAATGAACCGAACAAGATCGACGCGAACTAGACGTCAATTAATGCACGCGTGTCACCTGATCCACATATGCACAGAATCCTTTTTGCATGAGCAATTTATGATATATTAATGCA